ACGGCCGAGGGGCTTCTTCAAACCGCAGCCGCGACCGACCCACTGGCCCCACGAGCCCCCGGACGAAAGGGCAAGGAAAAAGCGTCTGGGAAGGACGCAGAGGAAACGGGCGCTCTGAAACGACGCCGAAAGCAGAGCCCTCTGACCGAAGTCATCCCGGGCGGTGAGGGCGGCCGGGGAATTGTCGCTCCTCACCCCGAATCCACAATCTACGTCCGCTCGGGGAGGATATGACCGGTTGGACACCGGTTCAGATAGCCGAGAAAGGTGCTGGGGATCTAGTCGAGGTTTGTTCCATTGTCCCTCTAACTTTATTTCTAACTTTTGACCATTCTTTAATTGATCGTCTAACTTAAGACTTTCTCACAGGCTTCTCGAGCGATCCTCGGTCTTCAGTACCGAGCCTTGTTGGCCAATGAAGCTGAGGCCTTAAAGAAGGTTGCCGAACGGCGCGACAAGGAGATTACTGATCTCCAAAATGAGTTGAAGGCGGCTAAGGAGGCCCAAGCAGTGGCCGAGAAAGATGCTCGAGTTGCCCTGAAGAAAGCGGGCAAACTGAAGACCCGATTGGGCAACTTGGAGGGCCTGGCCAAGTTCTTATGTCGTGATGAGCCTACGGCTGACAAATTCTTCTGAGCTCTCATGAAGAATAAGCTCGGGGAGGAGAAGATATGGACATTTGGCCATTGGGCCTACTAGTCCGGCCAACGGGCGATGCGGGAAGAAACCCGATCAATAATGGAGGAAGTCTTCGAGGGTGAGGACCTGAAGGCCGTGCTGACCACCCTTCTGGAGGAGATTCCCGACCCTGGCCCGACGCCCTTTACCGAGCTATCTACATCTGGAGCTGCAGCTGAGCCAAGCACTGGTGATAAAGACGAAGGAAAGGTCGTGTAATCACCGACCGATCCTTGTAGTTTATTTTTGTAAACTTGTGTCAAGTTAACTCAGTCGGGAGTTCAGTCCCGTTTGTATCGGGCAACTTTTTAATTTCTTTAAATGAATGGCCCGTTTGCTTGTTGTGTACTGGCTTTTATTTTTTACGTTTTGTACTTATTCAAACTTTAATTATTTTTCGCTCGATCTTTCGTTCGACTTTTCACTCGACCAACCTTACTTGTCCCCCTGGCCTTAACCTTAGCCCCCACACTGCCGGGCACACGAGGGACGCATGAGTGCGACAGTGGTTAAGAGCATAGTTAGCGTCGGGGTTGGTCGTGCATATGCCGGTTATCTTTTCTCCCGATCGACGTCGTAGTACGACTATTCTCGGGCGTTATGAACTACCCGGGTGAAATATTAGGGACTTTTTAAAGTCATCTGGGTTTTTAACCCTATCGGTCGGTACCGAATGAGAGGCGTTTACCCTTTATCGGTTGTAACCGAAAGTTTATACCGCGGTATTATCGGACAAGTTTTAGCGACTTTGTGGTCGTTGGGCTTTCGCCCGTCTCGATCGTTGATGCCGAGTATTGGAAGTTGTGAGTCGGTTAAATCACGATCAAAGTCAACTTCTGGAGTTGATTTAGCAAACTACTTACTATTTACATATCTTGATAGTCGATCGAGCCGCCGTACGTAGACGAGCGAGCAATCATCGATGGACGATACACACTTTTGTTCCGTACGCAGACGGATATACACACATGCACTATTTTACATATACAACAAAAGACGGGCGTGCCCACTCACAGGTTGAGCCCCCACCCTATCAAAATATACATATTAAAATCAATGGTGATATAACACCAGATTCTCAGAATTCCAAGTTCCCTCGATCGTTCCGTCGGTTGTCTTTTCCAAGCGATAAGTGCCCGGGCGAACGACTGATGTAACTACATACGGCTCTTCCCAATTCTGAGCCAATTTGCTTCCTTCTAGGGGTTGGCTTGCCTCTCCTCGTCGAAGCACATAATCCCCGACCTGGAAGTATCGCGGGTGGACCCGGACGTCTTTAGTGCCCTTCACTCTCCGTTGGTATTCGGTCATTCGTTGAGCTGCGATTTCTCTTTACTCTTCTACACCATCTAGATCGACGGCTAAAGAATGCTCGTTCTCCTCCGCATCGTAAGACCGCTCTCTAGCCGTCGGGATCCAAACCTCAATCGGCAACCGGGCTTCAGCGCCGTAAACTAGAGCGAATGGCGTTTCTCTTGTTGCCTCTCTGGGAGTCGTGCGATATGTCCAGAGCACGAACGAAAGTTCTTTGGCCCAACTACGGCCGGTTGAATGCAATTTCTTCTTTTATCCTTCCAAGATCGTCCGATTTGCATTTTCCACTTGACCGTTCCCTTGCGGATAAGCCACTGATGATCGGATCGAAGTTGTCCCGATCGTCGCCAAGAAGTTCTGAAAATATCGACTCACAAATTGTCGACCATTATCACTTATCAACTGAACAGGAACACCAAATCGGGAGACAACATTCCGCCATAAGAATCGGGCGCATTGTTGGGAAGTGATCGTGGCCAGTGGCTCGGCTTCGATCCATTTAGAAAAATAGTCGATGGCGACGATAACAAAACGTCGACGTCCAGAAAACTGCAGAAAAGGCCCTAAAATGTCCACCCCCCACCGAGCGAATGGAATCACAGTCGTGACCGGCTGATAAAACGTTGCTAGACGGCCAGGCATCCGGGCGTAAAGTTGGCACGTTTCACAACTTTTAGCGAGCTTCTCACAATCTAGTTGAATGGACGGCCAATAATACCCGATCACCATTATTCGCCAAGCAAGCGATCGCCCTCCTTGATGCGACGAATATAATCCCGAGTGTAGCTCATTCATGACCAATTCTGCTTCAAAAGAGTTGAGGCATCGCATTAAAGGGCCACCATACGATCGTCGGTACAATCGCCCGTCTTGCACCTGAAACCTCGACGCCCTTAACTTGGCTTTTCGAGCACGTTGTGGGTCGTCCGGTAAACGGTCATGCTGCAAATATTCCATCAAGTCGGTAATCCAAGCCTCTTAAACCGGTTGAATTGGGACGACCGGCAATCGATGAATACTATGCCTTGGAATCACCAAAATCCGAGCAATCTTAGAGATGTGCTCGGGGGCGTCTTGTGCTAGCTTCGATAGGATATCTACATCTGCGTTGTCCAATCGGGGAACATGGTGGACAGTATACGCTCGAAATAAGTTTAGTTTTTCCATTGCTAAGTCTCGGTAAGCTTGCAACCGCTCACCGTTGACCTAATATTCGCCAAGGACCTATCCAACCACCAACGCGGAATCTGTCTGTGCTCGGATATAATCAGCCCCCAAATCCCGAGCGCATTGTAAGCCGTTGATGAACGCCTCGTACTCTGCTTCATTATTGGTCGGGGTAAACTGATACATCAGAGCGTAGTAGACTTTAAAACCTTCCGGGCTCGTGATCACAACTCTTCCGCCTGCTCCCTTTTTACTGCTCGACCCGTCAGTGGCCAACGACCACCAAGCCACTTCGGGATCTTCCAAGTCTCAAGGTTGAGAATCCCGAGCGGTGCACTCGACAAGGAAATCAGCCAGGGCCTGACCCTTGATAGCCAGTCGCGGTCGGTATTCTATAGCATACTGTGTCAACATCAACGCCCATTTCACTAGGCGTTCGGAAGAAGAAGCGGTGCGGAGGACTGCTTCGATCGGCTGGTCGGTCAGAACACATACGACTCGTCCTTGGAAGTAAGGAGCCAATTTCTTAGCCGCTGTATACAAGGCATAAACAATCTTCTCCAGTCGGGGATAACGGAGTTCGGGACCATGTAACGCATGACTTACGTAATAAACTGGTCGTTGAACACCTTCTGGATCTGTTCGGCACAGCACGGCACTAACTGCTCGATCGGATACAGCCAGATAAACGTCAAGCTCTTCCCCTAGCTCGGGTTTAGACAGCACGATCGGAGACATCAAATAATCTTTCAAATCATTAAACGTTGATCGACACTCATCATCCCACACAAACCCATTGACCTTACGCAATACTTTGAAAAAAGGCAAAGCGCGTTTCGCCAATTTCGAGAGGAATCTGCTCAAAGCTGCTAACCTCCCGGTCAGCTGCTGTACTTCGAACGGTTGTGGGCGGCTGCATGTCAAGGATTGCTTTATCTTTAGCCGGATTTGGCTCAATCCATCTCTTGGTCATCATATAACCCAAAAATTTCCCGGTTTGCACAGCAAACGTGCACTTGGTCGGGTTCAAACGTAGCTGATACATTCCCGAGTATGGTCGACTCGGTCCCGACTCTTCACAAGCATATCATCGATATAGGCTTCTATGGTTCGGCCCAGCAAGTCTGCAAATAACATGTTGATATGTAGCTCCTGCATTTCGTAGACCGAACGGCATGACTCTGTAGCAGTATAACCCATCAGAAGTGACGAATGATGTTTTGCTCTCATCTTCATGGCTCATCATAATCTGGTGGTAACCTTTGAAAGCGTCCATGAAGCTCATCAGCTCGGCCCCGTCCGTTTCATCCACCATCTGATGTTTTGCTCTCATCTTCATGGCTCATCATAATCTGGTGGTAACCTTTGAAAGCGTCCAACTCGCCCGGGAGGACGATTTTTCCTTCGGGGTGGATGGTATCCCCGGTAAATCCCGACAGGGGTGCACCGACCGGAGTCAGCTCCCGACGATCAAGCTTTAATTTCTCGAAAATGTCCAAATAAAGAACGTTCACACTACTCCCGGTATCGACCATTACCCTTTGTATGTCGACTCCCATGATGTCAATTGTAACGACCAGAGCTTCTGTTTCGGTATCTCCGCTCTCGGGCTGATCTTCGAGAGCAAAAGTGATCGGCTCCATCTTCTGCCTCTTACCGGTCTCCCAGGAGTCGACGATCGCGACCGGGCAAGGTTCTCGAGCTTGGGAAGCGTCTTCCAAGCCCCCAAATATGACATGGATCGTTGGCTTCGATGTTTGCCGACCGCCTGACTGGGGATCGGGATCTTTCCGGTCTTGGTCCGATCGGTTAGAGCGATCAGAGCGTCGATGATCTTTCCTCTAAGCTGATCTTTTGTTTTCTTCCCTCTTTCCTACGCATTTGTCCAACTTCCCCGCTTGGAGCAAATCTTCCCACAACTGTCTCAAGTTTATACATTCTTCCGTATCATGTCCAGCACATCGATGATAAGCACAATGTTTCGACATATCCTTCCCATCCTGTCCAGGACGAGGAAAACGAATGAGATTGCAAGACTGGGCATATTGCATAGCTTCCGCGGCTGACCAGTTCAACGCCGTGAAGTCTCCCAGGCGAGCTCGGGATTGGGGGTGGTCTTCGACCGACCGGTTATCTAACCGACCAGAGGGCTTCTGGGACGACCCGACTTCTTGAAACCGTTTGACGGTATTGGCTTCTCCAGCATTGGCATAATCCGTCACTCGACGAAGCGCTTCTTCATAGGTTGTAGGTGGGTGGAGTATGAAATCTTGGTACAAATACCCGGCTCTCAGAGAAATATGTAACATATGAATAGCCGTCTGGTCGTCCATTGGTTCGACCTCACCCACGGCCGCCTTCCATTTGACCAAGAAATCAGAAAAACTCTCCCCTTCCAGCTGCTTTGCTTTTTCCAGGTACATATAGGGTTTCCGGACGATTTTGGAAGTTATAAACTTCCGGTTGAACTTGGTTGCCAAGCTAGCGAAGCAAGAAATTGACCCTGGTTCTAGCGTTCTGAACCACTCAGCTGCTCGACCAGACAACGTCGAATAAAAGGCTCGATACATCACGGCGTCGTCACTCACACCCATCATCAGCATATTCCCGTAGTAAGTATTAATATGGACCTTCAGGTCTGTCCGTCCATCGTACTCTTTGTTCCCGGGAATACGTAGATCGAGCGGGTAAGGCTGAGCCATGATCTCGACCGTGAAAGGAGTCTGCAACAATGAAGCGGTGTGATCAGAAGAAGGCTTTAAAGCGTGCTCATTTTGCCATCGGGTGAATTCCGCACGGAGCTGATTCAACATTCCTCGGGTCTCATCTTGCTCAACCGTATGGGCTGGTTCACGGGCCCGACGACGACGATGCGCTTGAGACCCAGTATGTCCTGACGATCCCACCTGGCTAGCCGCTCGCATAGGAGAATCAACTGAGCGCCTATCCGGGTCTTTCGATCCCAGTCGTTTAGACATTGCTGGTCGGAGTCGTTCAAACGCACTCGCTCGGTTATCTTCTGACTCGGGCTCTTCCACCCTTGGCCATGTGTTTCCTGCCGTGGTTCCTCCATGACCTCAGCCCCCTGCGATCCCAACCTCGAGCGAGCTGAGCGCCTAGTCCGGGGACCGGGCTGAAGCTCGGGCTCGGTCGGCATGGCTGGTTAGTTCGGGGAGCAGAAGCTGGAGCCGTGTACGCAGGCACAAAAGGCGGGTAGCTGGGACGTGGATAATACATTGGGGTCCCTGGCCAACAACCATACTAAGGAGGCGGTACTGGATATGGGTAATGTCCCGGATACGGGTATTGCTGACCGAGTGCTGGATATGTCGGTTGGATGTAGTTGATCGGGTTAGGAGCCACCGACCAGGGGGGGTGAAAGATTGAGATTTAGGTTGACTGTCTGACCCGGTTGCTGTGTATAGTGATGGTCGGAAGAGCTAGCTTCTTCGTCCTCCGCTTGATACATGAAAGGATACATGAGGATTGAGGTCGGATACGCGTCTATAATGACTTTTCGTACCGGTCCCTACGGACGGCGCCAAAATGATAGTATTAATGTCCACGTAAATACGGTCCACGTACTGAATGTAAACGATAATGAGAATAAAAGGAGTTATTTCATATATAAAAGGGAAACCTAATACAATCTAAACGACTACTCCGAGGACCGACTGACTGTGGTCGGACAACTCTGTAAGTAGTCTATTGATCGTTCCCAAAGTCCCTCTCACTGTAGCCACCGCAGATATTTATAGCCTCTAGCCGGGAACAACCCTCCGGCCTACCGGCATGTAACACACGTAGCCTCCACGTGTCCCAACCTGGTGAGCACTCTCTGTCAACGCCTATCGTTGCCACGTGCCCCTTTCTAAAGATACGGCTTCTCTGTAGAACAAAGGTACAATGGTCGAGCAGAACATCGGTCGGGTCCGACCGTCTTCAAGCAGAGGAGCAATACCAACGTGGCTAGATGATCGGTCCCGGGCAACATTCTGCTGTGGCGCTCGGGTTAAAGAATCTTGTACTCACTCATCCGGAGAACATCTTAGGTCGGTCGGGATATATCCTACCAATATATATATATATATATATATATATATATATATATATATATATATATATATATATATATATATATATATATATATATATATATATATATATATATATATATATATATATATATATATATATATATGTATTCAAATAAGGACAATTATATTATAGAGAACTGTGCGGACAGATAATGGGCACGCGACAAATTAGTATCATGCATATAATTTAATATACAATGGCACACAAGAATACATGTAAACATCAGGTTTCGAACCTAGGCTCTATTAATGAGCAAATCTATGCACATGACATAAAGGTAATAAATAGTAATAATTTGTATTGAGAATTGATATTTTTAGTTGATTATGTACAACGTTGTTTGCGTGTATGTAGTATGGCGTGTGCAAGAATAATTATATGATGGTGTTTAATTTTGGTGATAATTTAAATAGCATCTTTACCATAATATTATTCATTCTATCAATGGTAATAATTAGATATACTTGTATTATGATATTTTAACATGCAAAAAGAAACAATATTCAACAATCCGACAGAGCTTGCAAATGGTGCGCAAGTGTGTGCATTTGTGTGGTAGGATGTGTGCGAATTTCTGTAATGGAACTTTGCACCATCCGTTTTTTTTTTTTTTTTAAATTTAGTTTTATGGTGTTTGCGCTTATATGGGTTAGCGTGTGCAACTTGTAAGCATGAAGTTTCATAAGAGTCTTTTAAATTTAGTTTTATGGTGTTTGCGCTTATATGGGTTAGCGTGTGCAAGTTGTAAGCATGAAGTTTCATAAGAGTCTTAAGCATGATGAAAATATAGGGTTGGTGTTTGATGTTTGCGGTACGTTAATGTTGGTGTTAGTGTGTGCATTTGTGTGGTAGGGTGTGTGCGAATTTCTGGTAATGGAACTTTGCACCATTTGTTTTTTTTTTTTTTTGTTTTTAAAAAAAAAAATTAATTTGATGGTGAAAGGAGAGGTGAAGAGACGGCCACTAAGAGAGAGTGAAATATTGATTAAGGAGAGGTGCAATAACGCTACAAATCTTTATAAACATGAAAATAAATGAAATGGAAAGTAATAAATATAGTGCTTTAAGGACAAAATGACCCATGCTTCATCTAAAATTAGTATAACATGGGATCCAAGTGATAATCAATCTGAATCGTCAAAAAATTAAAATCAACGATCAAGGAGTGTGCTCATGGGCTCGGCTAACTAAGGGGGTGTGCACTGGATTCAAATATATATATATATATATATATATATATATATATATATATATATATATATATATATATATATATATATATATATATATATATATATATATATATATATATATATATATATATCTACTATACTAATAAGAGCCCAAGAGAGTTAGGCCTATAATGGGTAGAAAAAATGGCGGTCACAGATTTTAATCAAATGAATGGCTCAGATTGATTAAAAGATTGATAAGATTTAAATTTTACACTAAAATTTCCTAAAATACCCACACATCGTTACTAATTCCGTTAAAATTTTAAGAATTACCGTTAGTTCACCGTTAACTTACTCATTAATTTCAATAAATAAAAAAAAAATCTTATGTTCGAACCTCATCCCAATCAAAGTTGGCATAATTAGTACTATATTTTACTCTTATTAAATTATATAAAAATAATAATTTAGTAGCTACAACAAAAAATTATAGATATGCATTTCTTTAATTTAGAATTATGTGTCCACAATGCCTTTATTCAAAAAAAAAATTATTCATTATCAATAAATTAAATAAGAGAAAATAATTGTATTAGTTATATTGTCTTTATTTTTCTACAATATAAAAATTCTTTATATTCAAATTTATTAATTGATTATATTTGCTACATTGTCCTTACAATGTCTTAATTCAGTAAAAAAAAAATATTCATTATCAATAAATTAATTAAGAGAAATATTTTCATTAGTTATATTGTCTTTATTTTTCTCAAATGTAAAAATTTTTACATTCAAATTCATCAATTGATTATATTCACTACATTGTCTATTATCTTTTTTGTGCACTATTTTTCTAATTAAATATCAAAGTTATAATACAAAATAATGCTATATATTTATTACCAAGTATTTTATTAATACCATGAAAAAATTAAAAAATATATATATATATATATAATTAATAAAGCCAACCATATTAACTACTTGAGAGATTTTGTGACAAAGAGAGTATTCAAATCACACAACAAATTGAAGTGAGAACTACCTTGCAATGTCCTTGTTTGACAATCAGCAGTTAGCGGATTATATTAGCGGATTTGACCAACGAATTTATTTAATTATTAACATTGGATGGAAAAAATGACCGCCAAATTATTAAATTAAATGAGTGATTCAAATTGTTCAGGTTTTAATTTTTTTTTTTTAAGTTTTTCTAATTTATCCTTAATTATATGATTATACATTTAACTTTTCCGTTAAATACCGTTAATTCACCGTTAGTCTAATTCTAATATTAACGTCTAATATAGAATTATAATTACACCATTAATCTAATTCTAATATTAAAGTCTTAATATAACTTAACCACAAATCCTAATGTCGAAATCTCCTCAAACAATATTAGTATATATTTAATATTTTATGCCCTAATTTTTATTTGTTCTCCCTTATGTCCCGTATTTGGTTTCAACCATACCTATACAATTATTTTATTGACAATTATAATCAATCTTGACTATATTATCGTGCATATGTAAACTTAGAATTACCTATTTAACCCGCACGGGCTTAGCTCAATGGTTTAGTGGGCAGTATTTGGGAGAAGAGACCAAGGTTTGAACCTCGGCGGCGGCAGTGCGGGAATTATGTCCAAAGTGGGCAGATTCCTTGTTCGCACCGGCATTTGGTCCTGTCTGCTGAACCATTGAGTCACCATGATTTACAACTTCCCACAATGCTCTGTCAGGTCAGAGTGTGGGGGGCCCTTGGGGTTGGGGGCTCAACCTTTGGGTGAAGAATTACCTATTTAAATACGCAAATTTAACCTTCAATTATCTATGCATGGACAATTTCAATATAATCTTGCCTTAATATACTTTAAAGTACTTATTTAAAAAAAAAAGAAAAACATTGGACATTATCCCAATCGCGCAATGCGCGTCAAAAACTAGTATATATATATATATATATATATATATATATATATATATATATATATATATATATATATATCATTGACTAAAAAAAGGGTGTCACTGCACTAACAGTCCTGTTATTCCAGACTGGCGCTTTGGAACAATTGGAAACAAACGGCGCCACTTGCCAATAATGTAAACCTATCCCGCTGCATATATCATATATCCTTCATGTAATTCGCCCATTTCAACTTGAATTGGTATGCATAGAAATTTGTGTCGCCGATGCACTTTACTCCACAATTTGCATCACTTAGCCCTTTCTTTACTCAACAACCATTCCATCTACATACATGTGCAGGCGTGCAGCTTTACCACATAATGACGCCAAGAAAACCAATTTCTTATTATATTCCTTTTTTTTTTTTTCAAGTTTTCAATTTTATCATGCTACAGCATAAATCTCATGAATCAGCGCGGCTTCTAGGCCTATAAAGAGTAAAGGTGACGACAATTCGGTTCAATCGGAGGGTCAAAATCGAAATGTGCACTATTTTAACGGAACTTGAACCATAATCGTATAAAATGTTATGGATGGTTAAGGTTCAAACCTAATAAGTATGTGTAAGGTAAGATTTATATTTTTGTGAACCATTAACGCCGGTTCGTGAACTATACTGGACGATTCACAATTCCAAATATAATGAGAATAACATTACTAAAACGTATGTTGTATGTAGTACTTCATAGTAGTCCTGAAGACTCTATCAAGAGGTTGTGACCGATCAATGTTGGGTCTAATTTATCTCGGTGATTTGACCGCTTCTTGAGCATACACACGAAATGTAAAGGGAGGTAAACGAGGTATATTCCCTATCAATAATGAAACTATTGTATGTGAAAAATGAAATTAAAAAATAGAGCACATTATTATCAAATGAAACTGTAGACTGTGGTATAATTAAAATAATACTTTAGTATTATTATAATGAAACTAGTGTACGTGAAAAATAAAACTAAAATCCAAAACTATACAATAACATATATTGTCAAATGACTTGAAGTGCAACTAAAATAATACTTCAACATTACTATAATTAAACTAGTGTGTGTCGATAATGAAACAAAAAATAGAGTTCAAGCAATAATGTATATTATCAAATGAAACTATAGTAGAATTAAAATAATACTTTAGTATTGCTATAATGAAACTAGTCTGGAGAAAAAATGAAACTAAAAAATATAACAATATTATCAAATGAAATTAAAATATAATTAAAATAATATAGAGCCAGTAACTTTCAAAAAAAAAATAATAATAATAATAATAATAATATAAGCATCATATATAATTCAAACAGCTACATAAACCAGGGCCACCTAGCCGTTTATTATATTTTATATATATATATATATATATATATATATATATATATATATATATATATAATGCAAAACCACTGCATTATTATATTTGAAGACTTTTTAATACCGTTATTGGTTGTCAGTTGATCCACAGAAAAAGATAAAATATTTTAACCATGCATATCAGTTGAGTTTTAGTAAGAAGTGAAAAGTGTGATGCCATGTTATAATTTATTTCTTTACTTTTCTTTTTCTAATTTTTTTATTTTAACAAAGAGGTATGATTATCAATGACAGTAAGGGTGTGTTTGGTTCATGGGTTTACTTATCAAGAATGGAAATCAAAGTCATTGTTATTGTTTGGTTGACAAGTTGTTAGAACACCATTATAAGATTTAGTTACCCCTTAATTATAAAATTCATTCCATAATAAAATAAGGGTTTCATTCCATTATTCCCCTCCTAATTTGTAATTTGATTTTTTACATTTGGATTAGTGTTTTTAGATTTTTGTTTTTGTTTTTGTTTTTGTTTTTGTTTTTTTTTTGTTTTGTTTTTTTTTTGTTTTGTTTTGTTTTGTTTTTTTGTTTTTTTTTTTTTTGGTTCACATTGATGCTTTGGATGTCTTTATGTTAGAATCAGGGACGGAGCCAGAAATTCGGTTGAGAGGGGGGCGAAGAAGTAGGGACAGATTTAGAATTTCTTTTCAGTAAAGACGAAACATTAAAATAAAAGAGATAATTAAAAAAACACATCTCATTATTAATATAGAAGAATATTATATATATATATATATATATATATATATATATATATATATATATATATATATATATATATGTGTGTGTGTGTGTGTGTGTGTGTGTGTGTGTGTGTGTGTGTGTGTGTGTGTGTGTATTAAATATTAAAAAGCTATTAAAAACGTGACTGTGTTGAAACCATAGAAAAGGAGTCAAAAAAAAAAAAAAAAAAAAAAAAAAAAAAACTGTTGAAGTCAACTATAAAAATATGTTACTACCAAAATTTGAACTCATACCCTTTATCATAACTCAACATATGCTTAACTAACTCATCTAAATGACCTCTTGTTAACATTTAATAGTTTTATTTTACTAATACTAACACATATACTATACATACATATATACATACAAAAATTATATATGGGGTGGGGGTGGGGGTGGGGTGAGGGGGGCAGCAGCCCCCCACCCCCCTTTGAATTGGCTCCGTCCCTGGTTAGAATAAACTGTCTTGATTTTTGTTATAGTATTTTTAAAACTTTTATTCCTATTATAGGATCATACATAACCAAACATCATTCCAATTCCACCCTACTACCAAACATGTAAAATACTTTTACCAAAATACAATATTAAAATTTGGATTAATGATTAATCTCAGAGTAGTGGTGATCAATCACATACTTAATACAAAATAATAATAATAATAATAATAATAATAATAATAATAATAATAATAATAATAACCCAAAAATTTTAATTTATTGTGATGACAAGTCAAGTCATTATTAAATTTGGATAAAAATATATGTAAAAGCTCAATAATGTCAGACTATTTTTTTTTTTCACGAATGCTACTGACTCTATTACAATGTAGAGTTCAAACACTTTCACTGAGGCTCAAACTCAAAACCTCCCATATGAGAGTCTAACTCAAGTGCCATTAGACCACAAGGTCTTGATATATCATACTATTGATAACTTGTTGAATATGTAAGATGATAACTCAATTGTTCTTTTTACAAATTTAAGATAATAGAAATATAGAATGAACATTTCTTCAATAAAAATTCAATTGCGTTATCCACTCGATTTAGAGACTTATTAATCAATTTACTTTTTAAATATTTATACTCAACAATAATGATTTAAATGCTCCCCGATGTTTGAATTGCTTGAGGACCAATTTTATTTCTTGATGATAGAAATTGAATATTTTGATCGAGTAAATAATTCCCACAAGTTACCCCTTATTTGGTTGGTTTTAAATTTTTAACTAAGTTTAAATAAACAGAGGATTGTCAAGTACCTTGTGTTCAGATGGTATGTAGTGACCTCTTTCATATAGGAGGTCATGAGATTGAGCCTCAGTAAAAGCGTTGTATGAATTAATTAATATTAATTAATATGTAAACAATAGGGATAAGGGCCTTTGATGATTACGGAGTATGTAAATAATAAGGATAAGGGCCTTTGATGATTGCGGAGTATAATTAATATTAATTAATATATAAATAATAGGGATAAGGGACTTCAAATGGGAGGTCTCAGGTTCTGTGTGGGAGTATTGTCTCTTTGTATTTGAGAAAGTATGTATGAACATATACTACTACATAGAGTCAATAGCATTCAAAAAAACTCTTTGTATTTGAGAAAGTATGTATGAACATATACTACTACATAGAGTCAATAGCATTCAAAAAAAAAAAGGATAAGGGCCAAATAGACCACACTTCATCTTTCTACTTTTATGCAATTCAGTTAATTAACATGTTACATTAAGGGTGTGTTTGGAAACTCGGAAAATGACTTCTGGAAAATATTTTCCGAGTTTTCAGTGTTTGGATGCTGTAGGAAAATACAGTCAACGGAAAACATTTTTCGTTGACTAGGGAAAATGTAGGCATTTTTGTGGAAAATGACTTTGGCGTAAGTCATTTTCCGCCAACACTCAAAACACGATTGTCTTTGTTGCCTTCTATTCCTCAGTTTTCATCAATTCTTATATTTTCCATAATGCAACCAAACACAGGAAATGAAAATATTTTCTGAAAAATAAGTCATTTTCTGAAAAACATTTTTCAAAAGTTATTTTCCTACTTTCCAAACGGACCCTTAAGTCACAGGTAAATTTCTTTTATGCACTTTTATGCAATTAGTCACATGTTGCAAAAAGATGTGCCTACAATTTAGCAAGGAGATTAGTCACTGTGTCCGACAGTGAAAATCCTGGGTATACCAAAAAAAAATCTTTTTTTTAAAAAAAAATTATAAATTAATTAAAATAAAAAAATATTTTTAATTCAAATAAATTAATAAATTAAAAAAAAAAAAACAAAAAAAAAAAAAAAAAAACGTTCGGCATTAGCCCTGAAACTTGAAAGCTTGTTAACTTCAAGCCCCTGATGGTAATGAGAGCTTCTTCTTGTCACCTTCGGCGGCGCCCTTCCGCGTCTACTTTTACATGCCTTCGGCAACGCAGTCGATTGACTTTTCTGGGGCTATAGACTGACGACGAGGAAGATATGCGACTGCGCGTTCCACGTCGGTGCATGAGGTGGCCACCGGAGCCAATGAGCAACTGAGCCGCCCGGTCTGCGGAGTAGTTCAGGGCTCCAACTCTAATTGGTTGCCAGTTGAAGAAGATAAGATGGGGAAGAAGCTAAGACCCTGCAGGTACTTCTTTAGGTGTTTATCGCCGACGAGCTTTACCGCAGGGTTTCCTTCTAGGTTTATGGCTTACAGATTGTAATTTGCTGAAAGTTGGCGTATACATTTTGTTGCAGAAATGTTGTTGAATCTAAGATCCAAAACGTTCAGTTTTAGGAGGCGGAAAAGCCAGCCATTTGTTTTTTGTTTTTGTTTTTTTTTTTAAATCAATTTTACCTTCTATTACCTTATGTTTACTTGCAAATTGAGCTAATTGCACAAATTTAAAAAATTGTGGACTTAATTGTATACAAGTGAAGAGATTAAGGGCTTAATTGGAGTTTTTGTTAGTTTATGAGACTAATTGTACTTTGACTTATAATTAAAGAGCATATTTGATCCTTATTCATAAATACTAGTGTTTTCTATGCACGATGCGCAAAAACATATGTCCAATATTTATATTTTAAAAACAAACTAACAAATTTTTATTAATTAAAATCTAAATGAAATAAAATTTATTTATTATATTAATTAATCCAATATATAGTGTCTATAAATATTATTACCATTAAAGGATATAAGAAAAGATACGGTGATGCATATGTATGGTAAAAGTAATAGAAAAGATAACGAAAGTTATAATGGTAAGAGTAATTTTGTCCAAAATATTGTATAGTATAACTCTAAAAGCAGAATCTACAAAACGATTAGCACTAAAGATATGGACATAATTAAGAATATAAATTTGATTGAGACTTATTATGTTTTTAGGATATGACTAAGGGTAAATAATAAGTGGCTTTCATAGTTTTGACTTTTACATATTCCTTGTTTAATGACCACCTTAGGCTAATTAAGTGACTTTCATGGTTTTGACTTTTACATATTCGTTGGTTTTTTTTTTCTTTGAAAGACATTCCTTGTTTTATGACCACCTTATTAGGTTAAGTGGCTTTTATAGTTTTGACTTTTACATATTCCTTGTTTTATGACCCGCATATCAACATGTTGCTTATTTAGTGCAAGATAAGTAAAGTGTATCATGACATAACTCTCTAAATATTAAAACCATTTCAAAATCGGCCAATTGGAGAAGGATAACACTTGTGTGAGATCGTTTCACGGGTTTGAATCTTTGAGATGGGTCAGATTTTTAATTAAGGGATCAGATCTTTAACCTTATTAATCAAAGATGGCAAATTATATCGTGCATCACGGTGCATAATGGATTATGCACCGAGCTTCTAAATGACGTCGTTTTGTTTAATGAAAAGAAACGGAACCCGTTTCGCGTCGTTCCGCACCGTTTCACAAAAAGTAACTCTGTTATTCAGTTTCATTTTGTATACACTGCAGTTTCATTTCAAAACAACTCTAGTTTCATTTCAACACAACTACAGTTTCATTCGATATTTATACACTCAAATATGTGAAAATGTTATTTTATTTTATTTTATATACACTATAGTTTCATACTTTCATTAAAACACAACTAAATTATCATTTCGATATAACTACAGTTTCATTGCACAATACACTAAAATATGTGAAATGTTATTCAGTTTCATTTTATATGCACTGCAGTTTCATTTCAACACAACTACAGTTTCATTTCAACACAATTACAGTTTCATTTGATAATATAAAAATTATACGTGTGGCAGTGTCAGTTTAGATACACTGTAGTTTCAGTTGGTAATTAATACACCAAACATGCACGCTCCGTTAATTGTAACGATGATAATTCAAATTGTATAATAATAATAACAATAATTATTAATAACACTCACAGTAACTACGCCATTTTTGGACCGCGGTCCACAGTATAATTATTGATCAAAGATCTAATCCGTCTCACGGATTGAGACTCGTGAGACGGTCTCACAGAAGTTTTTGCCATTGAATAAAGACTAAGTATAAGCATATGCAATCAAGCCTCGTTAATTTCGTATCTAAGTTATGTAATTTATAATGTATTTTATTATAACACTAGATAAAATGATATATATTTTTTTATTTTTTAAAAGAGAAAGTAAATTAATGGATTAGCGGATCTAATCATGTCATGTCGTGTCAATCTGTGTATATTGATATCGTAACATGTCAAGCGGTTATGATTCATGTTTGTATATGTAATTTTGACCTATTAAGCTTAATGATTTGTGTTGGTATACGGGTTAAACCCCTTATTATCCCATGTTACATGACACAAAAACGAAAATGGAATCCGAATTGTCATGTCTACCAATTGATCCTATAATTTGACTAATTACCTAGAGCAACTTGCACGGGCAGACTACCACCTTGTTTGAAATGACAGTCAATTAGTTCGGCCGACCATCTTAACCTCTCAACTAGGGCTTGCTACGTAGATGCACTTGGTGTTGGTCATTATAGCCCCAACCAACTTGTCGTAATTTAAATAAAATAATATGTTCCGCTTAAAAATTCCCCAGTTGGTTGGATGAATGAAAATTGTAAGAACAGATGAAGTGATGAATCTGCTAAATGCAGAAAGAAATCAGAAACCAACGAGCAAAGCCCATATTGTATAGTTAGTACTAATTTGTTGTATATAATGTATGTCACACACTCACACCCACAGAGACACACAACCTTTCTTCTCTGTTGTCTCTTTCCTTCTAGAAGGCCGGTTCTTATCAACCTTTTCTCTTTGTTGTTAGCTTTTATATATATATATATATATATATATATATATATATATATATATATATATATATATATATATATATATATATATATATATATATATATATATATGGAGTGGTTCTGGTGCGAAGATGCTTACCGGTGAAAGATGGGATTAGATTTGAGACGTTGATAAATTTAGATCAACAGTTCAAATCAATGAATATTTTTTAATTTTTTTTTAAATGCTTTGTTTAGGTTGTGTTTTGGGGGTGAGATAAGAGCCATTGATTTTGCCAAAATCAACATCTAGGATTAACCATGATTAAAAAAACGTGGTGGCAATTTGTTTTTTTTTTTTTTTTTTTTTTTCATCTAGGTCAAATTTAATGTGTGTGGTTTTTCTTCTTAACGTGCGTCGTTTTCCTTCTTAAGGTGCATGGTTTTTTTACTCAAGATGCGTTGTTTTTGTGCTGTGTGCTTAAGGTGTGTTAGTTGTTGAAACTTAAATGCGTTTTTTTATGGTAATGTAGAGTTTTACGACAACTGTTGTTTTGCGATACTATCATTCCCATGGTTTTGATGCATGGTTGCTCATATCAGTTGTACACGTAAACCTGTATGCGTGCACACCAAAGATCTGATGCATAGTTGCTCAGTTGCACTCGTAAATCTGTACGCGTGCACACTATGGTCCTGATGCACAGTTGATCAGTTGCACAGGTAAAACTAAACATATGCACACCATATTTCTGATGCACAATTGTTGACTTGCACAAGTAAAACTAAACGCATGCACATCATGCTTCTGATGCATAATTACTGAGAATACCCTCTCCAAATTTATGAGAATGTTCGTAAAGTTCTAATTGGTAGCATGCTTAAAACAAACATGCACATTTGCTCAGTTGCACACGTAGAATTCTACGAGTGCACACCATGGGATGGACACGATTGCACAAAAACTAAATAACAAGGCAATGCACACTAGAAAAAGGGAATTGCACAGAAAACCAAAACCCAAACCAAGGGGTTTGAAAACCCACGGCAACACCGGACCAACGCCAATACGCTGCCACCCCCGCCCTCAGTAACACCGGACCCAATACGGTGATTTTTGTTCTCCTTGTCAGCCGAAACTCATCGAAAATAGGATAAAATCCCTCGCCAATAGTCACCGTTTAAAAGAGAGCAACCAAAAACAAAAAAGAACCCAAGTGCAAGGAAGACGCCCACAACCCCCCTCCCCCCGGCGACAACCGTTGATCGACGCCGAATAGACGGAATACTCGACACCAGAAATAGAGAAAAAAAAAAAAAAAAAACGACCCTCGACTAGCATCGGCGACCTTCGTGCTCCGGCGGCGTCTCTGAGTCGTTGGTGCGTCGGCCATTGTAGTGGGGGAAAAATGCGCCACCGAGAGGCTTAAATCAATGCCTACCCCTACATCAACCCCAATTCTAGGGTGTGTTTCATCTCAACACACGATCCTACAAACCTTGTTTAATTTTTATCATTTTTTGTTTTCACTTTCCTTCTAAAAGATTTGAGATTGAATAATATTTGATTTAAATCAAATAATATACTTCTTTTTTTATTTTTTGAAAAATCAAATAATATACTAAATACTATTATTATGTGAATTAATTAATTAATTTTTTTGAAAGGAATTAATTATTTATTTAATATAGTAAGACTTTAGGTAGATTATTATGCAAAAAATTGAGTGAATTTAATAGTGTATAGCTTTTAATTGCAAAAACAGAGGATCCCCTAGTTTGCAGGATGAACGGAAAGTGAAAGAAAAAAAAAAATGATGAATCTGCTAAATGCAGAAACCATGGATGAAAGCCCACATACAACCTCTTTTTGTTGTCCCTTTCTTTTTGGACAACGAAAGATACTTGCAATCAATATCTGAAGATATAAATTAAGTAAATTCATTTTTTGATACTAGCCATCAAAGAATTACAATGAGGTAAATTAACATAGATTGTCATAGTTGATTGATTTGAACTAAGAAGTTCAGTAAGTCACTCTAATTAAAAATCGAACTTAAAACATTGTGGTTATCTAATTGAGTTGTCCTATGATCTATTGTCCCTTTTCTTCTTTAGAACACTGGTTTCTTATTTATTTTTATTTTTTTGTATTATTATTATTATTATTATTATTATTATTGGGGGATGGGGTAGGGGATGAATAAGGAAATCTGCAATCATTGTTCAAGTGTGTGCACTAAGTAAACGTTACTTCATCTTGTGATCCTAGTTGATAAAGCACGGTAAAGAGATAAACTAATCTGTTGGATCAACTCAAATCAAGAAAGTCAATAGACTGTTTTATTAAGATTCGAACTTGAATATTTGTAGTTTTGCAAATCACTTGGATGAGATTGTCATCTATTGTACTCGTGAGTATGCACTATGTACTAAGTAAATTTTGTCTTTTAATTTTAATTGATAAAGAATCATAAAAAAAAATAATAAAAATAAAAAAAAATAATAATAATAAAACAGCATAAGTTATAAATCTTTTTTACAAATTAAGTTTAGAATAAGCTAACCAGAGTTATATTCTGTTGTCCCTTTCCTGCTTTAGAACACTGGTTTCTAGCTATCCACTCTTATCTTCTTAGCTATATATTGGAGTATTAAATAAGCTTTAGCGCGGCGCTGCAAAAACAAAATACTATGGTCTGTTCCATTTCAACAAACGACCCCACAAACCATATATTATCACTTGTTCTTTTCTTGGCTTTCCTAGCTAGCTTCTAGAAACAACGTAACCCTTTATATCTTCTTTATTTAACCCTCCCATTTGTGATTTGTCCTTGAAGAATTCATCAAATTCCACTTTCTTCCCAATACCCAATTCTATACGTACCATTCTGATCTCCTTTAATTTCTTCTTTCATCAAACATATATGGATCTTCATCTTCTTCCGGGTCTTCCTAATGATATGGGCCTCGAGTGTCTTATTCGGCTTCCATACCGGAATCTCTCTGCCGTTAACTCTGTTTGCCCAGGTTGGAAGCTTCAGATTCAGCTTCCGGAGTTTTGGAGACAAAGAAAAGCTGCGGGCTTTGCTCGCCGGGTTATTGCCATGGCGCAAGCTCGGGTCGAACCCACCCGGGAATCGGCGTCTATCAAGTATACTAATACTGCCACTCCTCTTTATCGGATGACGGTTTTTGAGCCGGAAACCGGCGACTGGGCCCAGCTGCCGCCGCTTCCTGGGTTCACAAATGGGTTGCCTATGTTCTGTCGGGTTGTCGGGGTCGGGTTGAACCTGGTGGTTATGGGCGGCTGGAATCCGGTTACTTGGGAGGTGTCCAAAGCCGTTTTCGTTTATAACTTCGTCTACGCCACGTGGCGGCGCGGCACGGACATGCCCGGTTGCCGGAGATCTTTCTTCGCCTGCGCCTCCGATCAGAACCGGACGGTGTTCGTCGCCGGTGGACATGACGAGGAGAAGAATGCGCTGAGGTCAGCGATGGCCTATGATGTGGCCGGAGACCGGTGGGTCCCACTGCCTGACATGGCAATGGAGCGCGATGAGTGTAAAGGCAGCTTCCACCGTCGCATGTTCCACGTCATCGGAGGCTATGAGACTAAAATGCAAGGTAGATTTGGAGCAAGCGCCGAGGCATTCGATGTTTCTACGTGGCAGTGGGACGTGGTGCAAGAGGACTTCTTGGACACTGCCACCTGTCCACGAACTTGCGTGGACCATGATGACATCAACGGGTATTTGTACATGTGTCGAGATAACAACGTGGTTAAACAAACAAATTCGTCATGGCAAGTTGTGACTCAACTTCCAGCGGATGTTTCCAACGTGGCATATGTGACGACAGCCTGGCAAGGTAAGATGATGGTGATTGGCTCATCAAAATTCAGTGAGCCCCACAAGGCGTTTATTTTGGATTTAAATACTTACACGTGGACCAACGTCAACATGCCGGAAAACTTCTCCGGCCATGTCCAATCCGGATGTTGCTTGGAAATATAGAGTTCAACGCTGAAAATGAAAAAGGTTGTAAATATTGTATAGTATTGAATCGTCAATTTTGGTTCATGATACATATGCACTATTTACTATATAGAGCATTATTTTATCCATTTTAATTTGAATCGGTTTGGGTACTAATAATATATTTTGAATCTATAGTGATTGTAAATTTTGTTCGTCATTTTAATATTAAAAAAATAATAAAAAATTTTGAGTGAATTTTTTAACTTTCCATGCTTAAATTAGGTTAATTTTGGTGAGGGTGAAAGGATTATCAATTTGTAATATAGGTATCAAGTTGAAGAAAATTGGATATTACTTGTTTAAAGTAATAACTAATTACGGAGTTTATGATAATAGGACAGGTTAGCTGTCGCATTCCGGCGGGCAGCGGCAGTGTGTACCCTTTGCTGCCAAGGAAGTGATTTCTGACAATGATCCCACATTTTGTTGGGTTACATTTTTATTTGGGTGTGACTAAGCCTTCATAAAAATTAAAGTAGCAATTAGGGTGTAGCTTGGATGGATATTGAATTAATTTAGTTTTTGATTATAATGATTTTTTTTATTTAGTCATAAATAATTTTTTATGTTTAATTATTAGGTCATCAATTTTGATGATTTTATTCAATTGAGTCATCTATTAAGATAGCTTGATAATTTCATCTTTATTATTACATAATTTAGTCATCGATTATAATAATTTTATCCAAATTAATTTTTGATTATGGTGATTTTACTCAATTTACTTCTCGATTTAGTCCTTAATTTTAACAGTTGAGAACTCAATTGAGTAAAATTATCAAAGTGGAGGACTTAATTATACACAAAATATTATTTAGGACTAAATTGAGTATTGACATAACTCCATGTATATTCAACTTCAACCATGTACTCACCCAAATACAAGGATTTTTTAAAGAGAGAGTGAGTGATGAAGTTATGATATTGTGCAAACTCATTTGGGAATTGAGATGTTTGTAAGGATGCACATAGATTATAAGACTTTGTCCATTCCTGTAAATGGTGAAAGATTACAAGATCACATATGACATTGCATGTCTTATTATTATTATTATTATTATTATTATTATTATTATTATTATTATTAATGGACAGCTTGAAATGGCAACGAATGGTCATATCTTTCAAGCTGCTTCATGGGCTAAGTAATGTTCTTAGAGCATCCGCATCAATTAGGAAGAATTGGGGGAGAATGTAAGAGTGATTAGGAAAGAGAATGTGGGAGGGGAGAGAAAAAAAAAAAAAAAAGAAAAAAAAATCAAAACTGAAATTTTTAAAATAAAAATTGAATGTAAACCGTCAGGCGTGCTGACTGCGTCTCCGGGTGCGTGCATCGCACGTGCCCGGCTTTAACCTCCTTCTGCGCGAAACGCGCTTAGCAGCGCTGGTCCTTTTTCTTTTTTTTTTTGGCCATTATCTTGACATTTGGAAGAGAATTATTTTTGACATTATCTTTGCTTCCCATATGTTGAAGTGCATATTAGTGTACTAATATCTCCATATTATGCTTTGATGGGATGCTCTTAGAAGATAGCAATCTCCTGAAATAAGCATTGATATTTTGTGCTTATTATCTTATTTATTTACCATTTCCCAGCAAGAATTAGGCTGTCAATATTTCCTGGAAGCGGTCTATGGCCGTTTACCTTATACAGCCATTGGCTGTAGTAGGCTTCTTCTTCTTCTTCTTCTTCTTTTTTTAATAAAAAGCTCTAAAAAAATTTTTATTTTAAAATGACACGTACCAACTTGAGAATGACTAACTTGTTGAACTGGTCACTGTTTTATCGGATTAAGGGATTTAAATGAAGCTTCTTTTTTTAGTTAGGAGATCTAATTGCACTATCCGGTTGACTTAGGAGGCCAATTTGACCTTTTTTCTAAATGATGATAATACTAGAACCAACATAAAATATTATGAGAAAAGAACTAAAAATGAGATGACATTTATAAATCTATAACCAAAAATAAAATTAAATCTTATCCTATCCTATCCTATATATAATAAAGTCATATGGTCTTGTGATAATCAACATTTAATTTTCACAAGACCATAATAATATTGTTAATTATAATAACAATAACAATAATAATAATAATAATTGCAATAATAATAATGATAATAATTTCCACTGACAGTTTCTAATATATATATATATATATATATATATATATATATATATATATATATATATATATAAACAAATAAATAAATATACATTATTTTTATATTGAAAGTACCTTACATACATATATAATGTACCCTTAGTATATTTAAAATATACTTTTTATTGCATGCAACCCCAAAGTTCATAAGTTTGAAATTAATATATGGCATAGCTAGGCGGCCTAATATTTAAGATTGTTGATGTGCATATTGAGAACTACGGAGACAAAGATGCGTTATTCGTGGATTCATCGGATACTGTCCAACAACACTCTCCAACTTAATTGACGTGAAGTAGGCTAAACATTAAGATTATATTCTCGAATTATTAGTTCTCATCTTTTATTGGTTACACACTTAATTCGATAGTATTTGGAAGAAAAAATCAATGTTCGAACTAAGATTGTGATTTTGGTCTTTAAAGGTCAATTGTATGTTGCTACATCTAGAGTTAGAAATCTCAAAGGTCTAAAAATTTTGATCCGTGGTGACTCTAAACTTGTAATTCAATTACTATTATAGTTTAATAAATTCTTAAAAATTTGTAATATTAAATACTATGTACTAAATTTTTAATATAGTTTAAGATTTGTAGTAATCACCCACCTTAAATATTATTTTAATTGTAAATATATTTATGTTCATAATTTTATTATAGGAATTCACACATAATAATTATTAAATAACAAAAATTTTATATATGAATAAACCTCATATAGGGTATATTTTTATAACATATTTTTCGTGCATCGCACGGGACAAATACTAGTTATTTTCAATGTTGCAAAAATCGCGCCTAGGCGCCATTGCGCCGCCGCGAAGAAGGCCGAAATCGGCCATCTCCGCGGCCGGCCGCCTAGCCGGTTGAACCGGCGCTTTTATTTATTTATTTATTTTTTTTAAATGTCGGAAAACTTTCGGAAGGCATAACTTTTGACTCGGTTGTCCGATTTGGACAATTTTTTTTTCAAATCGCGTATTTTTCGAGATCTATACACTGCAAACAGCCAAAGGCGGTTTGGTCCACTAATTTCTCAACATTAGTTATTTTAATATAATATTGTTGAATGAGATTGCAAGCTTTCAAATAAATGATAGCTTGCCTTCTAGCAATATGTGATAGCTTTTGGTGAGATATTTTGACTTTTGGACTTGTATAACTTTATATATTATTATTAGCAAATTATATTTTAGAAATGAGTTATTAACATTTTATAAATGTAGAAAAAAAATTGTAAATATTATAATATTACAGTAGTGTCTATTTTTGAAAGTAAAAAATTGCATGGATATTGCATACTAATACGGAGTTCTAAATAATTTGTATTTATGATAGTAGGAGAGAGAATAGTTGGTAGTAGGTGCATGATGATGGAACATGTCCTGCCTTCTTTTCAATTAATAGTCATGTTAAAAAAGTTAATGAGTTTTAACTTTTTGTATACTTGTGTACAAACACACTTAAAATTAAGTTGGTCATTAAAAATGCAGGTTCTCCAAACTTTACTAGTTCTCTTTAACTGTTTTAGTATGATGGTTATTTATTTTTTTTTTTTCAATTAACTCGAGAAACCTGTAACTACTAGTCCACTACTTGAGATTGTGCATTGGGTACACCCCGCATTGTAACCCTAATTGGCAAAGGACTACAAAGAGATATACCAACCTAAGTTATCCATAGCTGATAGACTCAAACTAAAAAGATACAAAAGCTAGAGGACTAACTTTACTATGAATGAGTACATATTCCTGAACATAATAAGAAGAAACCTGATAGACTTAGGATGTTAAGAGAGGGAAATGCATGGTTATTACACCAAGCCTCAGCATCAAATTCTGTCCAAACACACCAAGGCATGTGCCCCAATGATTTGCACAAACTCCTCATTCTAATGTTGGGGAAAAAAAAAAAATCATTCTAAAAGCTATTATTTAATCCTCATGCAGTCATACAGCACTTGTCCAAATCTCTTGTACATGTGCTTCTTTAAGTACATACTCTCTACCTTCTTTTTCCCATTGCTTCCTAACCGCTGTCTCACCGATGGGTTCTCCAGCAAATACTGAAGATCTTGGGCGAGCACCTGAGCTCCAGGCCGTCCCAAGGGGTGAAGAAGACCACTTACATTGTGTTCGACAATCTCTTTTGTGCCTCCTGCATCTGTTCCCAACACCTGCATCCCAAATATACATACAACAAACATCAAATTCCTGCGGGCAACAATATAATCTTGCATCTACATTGGGCCACTTCAATTCACTTTCCAACTTCCAAATTCTGACTTTCTAGAGAGTGAGACTCACATGCTATATCTATGTACTTACTTTCCTATTCTTTTAGTGCACATACACAAAATCACTAAGGAAAAATTCAAATATAATAAATATTTAAGCAACCATCTATTATCACTTCCACTTCCTATATAGTTCAAGTTTTCAACTGATAGGCGTAACTATAATAGAAACTCAGTTAGTTAACAAGGTCATCAACATTATAAACACAATAGATCAATATCAATAATATATCATTGGTAGGCAAGCTGCAAGCATGTATCTGTTGAAGATTATATATAAGCTAGTCGAGACAATATAGAAGAAATCTGTATCTTACTGGAAGACCAAATGCCATAGCTTCAATTGTTACTCTCCCAAAAGTTTCGCCGAGTCCCTGCCAGACAATTGCCATTATATTGCTTTAAGTACCAGCCAGTAAAATCTCAATGATATGATACACAAACATTGGCTCACATAGACAAGCATGATAATGAATTTCAATAGAGAAAATGATTTAAAAGCAAGATATGCATATACAGTTGTGCTTACAAGCATAAAACAAAATCTTAACTCACTTGCATCCTAGCTCTGGATAAGTCATTCAAATAAATGTTTACACACAAAACTCTTGTAACTTCATTCACATGATCTAGCACAACTATCTATATAATATACATCAGAAATTAAGAAACCATGGAGCCATTTCTTGATTTTGAAGTGTACCAAATAATGCAGAGTAGTTTAATTAACCACCATGGGATTTCTAAGTGTATGAAGTTATAAAGAAGCATTACCTGCGAATTCATTACATATACATCTGCTGCAGCATACAGAGAAGCAACACGAGTAGTTGCTGGAGTCCATAGCACTGAGTTTGACAAGTTTGCATGTTGAGAAAGAAACCTGAGAAGTGTTTTGACATAGGGCACCTTATTGCTCTTAGATCCTACTGACCCGATAAGAATCTTAAGTTTCTGTCTTTGCTTTCCTTCAGTCTTGGACAAAAGCCTCCTACTATTGGCACTTGTATCAACACTCTTTCTTTGAGCATCATGCTTGCTTGTGAATAGGTCACCAGGGCTAAATTTTGCCCTTTTTAGAGAAGATTTATTTAAATTTTCACTAAATTGTTTCCGATTATGAAGCAATGCTCTTTTAAGATAATCTTGATCTTTTAACGCAGAAGTACTTAAAGGAAGTCCTTGTTCAATTATCAACCGTGCTGACTCAAGAAGTAAAAGTTGACCTTTTCCAGGATTTACACTACTCAAGGACATAACAAGCATATCATTATCTGATAATCCCATTTCATTTCTGACAAAATTTCTCAATAAGTTTCGCTTTTCTAGCATCTTCTCGGTGCTGAAGAGGGGAGTATTCAGAGAGCATGCAATGCCTGCTGGGAAAGCAAGTTCATCACTAACAGAAAGTGGAATAAGTGCAGGCTGAGATTTCAATTTGATGTGTTCTTCCTCACACCAGGCTAGCCACTGTTTAGATTGTAATTCAGATAGAAAAATAAGTTTCTTCACCCGATTGAAGGCTATTTTTGACCGATCAAAGTACTCCCTTCTGTTTTCCATGATCCACCAAGCAATTTGACTTGCACCAAGCACAGTCCGTGATGCATATCGTTCTGGAAACCGTGATATCATCAGCCATTTATCAACAGAATAACACATGGGAAAAACAAGCACATATAAATTTAATATCATTATATCCAGGACTCAAATGTGAAAATGGCTATAAGACAGTTTTGAGTAGAGTAAGAGAAGTACACTGAAAGACACTAAGATAATCAAAATTCATCATTGTATAACAGCCATATGAGCATATCGCATGATTGAAGAATACAGGTTCATTCTGTGGAGTAGGTAAATTCACATAGATGTGTCCCATTTATATAATTCATAAAGCATTTATAAATAATATGTGAAAATACCCTTCAAACATCTCTTGGTTGTAAGTAACTTAAGACAAGCTCAAGCAGAGAAAAAGTTTATAAGTTAAAGTTCTACACACCTCTATTAAAGTTCACAACAAATTCAATTAATAGGATGCACTAACAACTAGAAAGTATTTAACTTATATTTTCGGCAAACATATAAGTCCAGATAAGTATGGCATAATACTTCTAACATATGGAGACAATTGCATCACTGCTACTGCAGATGGTAAAGTATTTCTTTTTTGGGGTTTAGAGGGGTCTCAGGTAGGGTGAGGGATATGGTTTATTTGCCAATACCAGAAGCCAGAAGCATGTAATTGTCACATATGCTCTAACAAATATTGCAATTTTTCCTTACACAAATTTTGACATTATCAATTATAGTAGCTAAGTTTTGACATTACATAAACAATATAAACAAAATCACTTACCAATCCATGATGCACAAACAGCAGAGCCTGCGATTATAAGGTCTGCCTTCATCGCTGTCTTGAAGCTGATGTCTGTCTTATCGTCAAGCACTTTGATCTTTCTTCTAGTTAGCACAGGCATCAAACCCCCTCTTTTGCTAAGAGGCACAACATAAACTGTGGCACCACAGCTCAAAAGTTCTGTTGCCAATTCTAACATGGCAAGGGGAGCTCCAGTCATAGAAAGCTCATGGAATATCAACACAAACTTTCTAGACCAAACAAGGCGTGCAAACTGACCCTTCCTGTCACAGGTACCAGACCTCTTTTCAGGGCTCCACCCAAATATGCCGTCCTCTAATGAACCAAATGGACCAACAAGCATGCCATAGGTGGTGTTTTGTTTTGGTATCTCCTCTTCCTGCAAATTACCACTATCCCTGACTTCAACTGCCACCTTCTGTTTGCCACGTTTCTTCTTACGTGAAGCACGCTTTGGTTTACTTCCCTTCTTTGAAGCTGCATTTCTATCAGATGAATTACTATTTCCTTTTGCAGATAAATCCAGATCTAGATCCTTTGAACTGGAGTGGTTATTCTTAACCTCAACTTTAACAGACAAAGAATCTACATTTGCAATCACATCATGTCGATTCTTGGGCTCTGGCTGGGAATCTACAGCACTTGAGTTACGATCATAACCACCAAATATACTCTCCTTGTTATCCCCATGAGCCCACCTTGACTGGACATAAAATCCACCATAGGCCCAAAGGGTAATTAAAAGCAACCAAAGGACAATTCTGTTGCTTCTGAAACACTGGAAATTAATGCCACTACTCCTAGCTTCTCTGTGTGGAGTACGCCCAGAGCTCAACCGCTTAAAGGAAGGGGATCCCCTTGGAGTTGATCTCCCAGACAATGTGGATTTCAGTGCACCAGCACCAGTGCCTGTCCTCAAGGACGACAGTCTTAATGCATTCCCATCCTCCATCAATGTGATCTACTACAATTTCCAAATGTTCATGGCTCAAACTTCTCACAAATTATGTACCAGATAATTTTTCTAAAGGTTCAATTAACGGCGTATACATCAAAATGCTATAACAACAGTGCATCAAATACTTTATCTAACACCAATCCCTGAAAACAAATAAGTGCGACCATGCGTCATCCAACTGTCATAAATCATTATTAAAAAATAAAAAGAGAGACATCAAAACTGATAAAGTAAAAAGTAAGTCCAAATGACGATAAAGAAACGTAATGTATTTCAGTCGGCTTTTTCGTCCTGTCCCCACATTATTTGGAAACTAGTTTGTTTACTCTCTTTGACTCAGAATATCAAGAAATAAAAGCATAAATATTAAACACATCAAGAAGAATTCCCGAGGAACGCAACACTCAAATCGTAGGCATAAATCTACGGAGAACGAAACAAATGTTTTTCAAGTTCCATAATCGTAAAAGTGAAAGAAAGGATTCAAAAACCTAAAACTTACAAGAAGGATCAAATGATTGAGCTAAGATCAAGTTGGGCGGAGAGCAGCTGCTATGGAGCTGAAGCCAAACGAAAACTGTGTGTAACCGACTCGATCTCTGAGAAGAACTCAACTTGAAGATCAATGGCAGTAAAATCTCTGAGAAGAACTGCCAGGCTGCAATACACTATTGAGAGAGAGAGAGAAAGAGAGGGAGGCGTGTTCCAAGTCAGAAGAAAATCGAAGAAGAAGAGTTGAACGATCGCACGTGCGAAGCAGGTGTATGTGTGTAATGAGGGAACAATTCTACCTGCTTTCTTTCCCCATCTAAAAAAATTTCTATTAAAAAAAACAGGTGTTTAGAAAATTTTATTTTTTTGTATCAAATTTTATAAAGAATAATGTTATTTTTTAGATTTTGTTCACATCTTCTTGATGTGATAATAAATTTGTTTTGGTCAATCCCACCCAATGTTAAAAAAAAAAATAAAAAAATTATTATCCCATAAATATCATGGTATGATTTTTGGCAATACATTCTTCATTGTATATGGCTTTCTTAATATAATTTATCTCTATTATTTGATTTACAAACTATTACATTTAATTTACTTAATGCATATAATTTACCTAATACACAAGGAAAAAAAAACTACTTACTAATCAAATATAAAAGAACCAAACAATACAACTTTTTTAGATTCTATTTATATATATATATATATATATATATAATAAACAAATAAATTTCTTTCTCAAATACACGCGTATACAATCCAAAATCAATCCACTGAACTAACAAGTGGGACAAAGTGTAAAAAGAAAGTATGTCATGTTACATGTTGCCAATTTTAACCTATAAAATAACTACTAGTGAATATAGAATTTTATTAAAATAATTCACTGCTCTAATCATTCAAATCACTCTGGCAAGTCGCAAGCGAATATATAATTCAATTAAAATAATTAAATACTCTTAACCATGTTTTATATTCGTATACTACCATTTCACCAACCTTTGCAGCAAATGACAACTAATAACAGGCTTGGGGATAATAAAATTATCATCATCATTATTATTATTATTATTATTACTAATGCAAAATACAAATCTGACCAAAAGCAGTGTTTCCATCAAGTAAATGTAAAATACACAAGGCAGCATCCTCCTCAAAAGGGTAACATTATCCACGGAATTTTGACGCAAACCAGATTTGTAAACAAAACCATATACTGGAAATATATGAACTTAGCATAACATACTTCTGCTACATAATGCCTCTTGTTCTTTGCCATTATTTATCATCTTCTAGAAGTCCAGTAACTATTCTCACAAGCCTCATTGAAACAAAAGCAAGCCACAAGAACCTGAAATTGAAAGATTTAGGGAATTTAACTTTAAAAGATGTTGATTGATGCTTAAAGTGCAAGGTCTTCGGGTATCCGAATTATATATACCACATATTGAGTAAAGAACTGCCACCCGTCAAGCTGCAGTGTAGCTCCTGAAGTGAAGCAGCATGAGCAGGCGTTTTGTCATGTAAACCTGGCACACAACGCAACCCAGCAAAGAGTGAGTGCAATGAGAAGATGCCTGGCTAGGGAAAATTTAACAAGGCAAAATCAAAATGGATGATAAACTTTCATTTAAAAAACAAACTCATCATGTTTAACGTGTTAAAAGCACAATGCAGTAACACTTCAAATTCATTCCTCCAATCGACTACGTATTTCAAAGACGGAACACCCCCACCACTCGATAGCATGATTACATTAAAGTAAAAAAGCAAAGTATAGGCAGTGTTATTTTATAAAAATCCATTGACACAAGATCCCAAAAGATTTCAAGTAGCTAAGCTCTCCACTACACAGCGGGAGATAGCACCTTTGCTCTTCTACTCACCCCATATGCCAACTTTCCCTTCTACTCTGGTATGCTTGTTTTATTCAATTTGATTTTATATGTGATCTCCACGAAGCAGCAGCATTTATCCTAACATACAGGTTTCTGTACTACCAAGTAAAGAAAAATGGAGAGAGATGTCTCTAGCATACCAGAAGTAAAGCAGAACATAAAAAATTATAGCCAGTACCAGAGCAAAGTGATTACCTAAGGTAAGGCAGAATACATGAGAGCCCCAGGTTCTCCAGATCTACAAATGGAGAAGGGCCCGGGAAAAGGCCTGCAGCACTGAAAGTACCACACAGAATGCAACACCCAACTAAAGATGGAAGATTTTAATTGGATAATTTGATATTAACCGGCTTATTCAAACAGGTTCAACATACACCACTACTTCATTGGTCAAACTTCATCTCTGTATATCTGTACAAAATATGTAAACAATTCAGCATCATTCTCCAATCAAATAAGAAAAGATCCAATAAAACATGGTACAACACTACAAGTTTGAACTTAGAAATTTTTTATAGCACATAGAAAACGTGACGTGATGGTTTCTTTCAGAACTTAAAGAAATGAGGTTTAGACTCACCTGCGAGGATTCTTCTGTCGCTGCCCAAAGTCATCATTTCCAAGTTCTAGAAACGAGAGTATGGATTGAAAAGGTCAGCTTAATGTTGAAAGCAATAACATATTACCACAAGTCTATAAGTAATCAGCATCTCTTACCAGGCTTTTGCGAAGGCTTCCCTTCATTATTAGGTTTGCTGCTATTATTTTCTTTGCTGTGAACAAAATTAAACATTAGACTTCACTTTATATGCTTGCACACCCCACCCACCCTCTAAAAAAAAAGTATATTATGTAGCATGCATGTATTCCAAATCAGTAATCACCAGACCACAAAAATACAGCATGAAAATGGACAGAAATCAGCTATAATAAATCTACTGACCTTGAAGCAGCGGTGAGGGTAGAAATCTGCCCAGATGGACGACCATGATAGGCACCATCAACAGCAATATAGGGTGAGCAATACGTAGCCCCCAATGCTCCAGCAGCACCAGCTAAAACAGGCAACCTGGTAAAGGAAACAGAGTATCTGGTAAACATTTGGGGTACAAAATTCGATAGAAATATAGAAATATCAAATAATAAAATACATAAAGATGACATATTTATGGGCAGAAAATAAAGTCCTTCTGGAAAAGGAAAGAGTTTCTGATAAGACACTTGGTATCTAATAAAGACAGCCATAGGAGTAAGACTAAACTTATAATTTAAATGAATGTAAATATCAGGGACCAAATCTAATGAAACACACAATTCAGCAGAAGATGAACTCAAAATAAGCGGACTCTCAAAGTAACCAAAGAACAAAAGATGATGTGTTTTCAGCCTCTCTAAGCATTTCCAATGACAAAACTTACCAAGTCATCTCGGAACTCCCTAATCCAAGTTGCGGCTGAGCCACATAACCTGGAAATGCCATGCCAACAGCAGGAACTCCAATGCCACCAGGGTGCTGGTTACCAAATTGCATGACTGCATATTCCATTTAGCATTTAGTTCTGTCTCTAAAACATTTAATATCTAAAAATAAAGAGTAACATGCTGTCTACAAGGAAAATATGCTTGTATGTATGAATGCATTTATATTTGATATGTTATGTTTTAGAAACCAAAATGTATAAAAAAAAAAAAAAAAAAAAAAGATAGGAACAATGCAAAGAAGTGCAAAGGTACACTACAACATAACAAAGTAAATCTGTACAGAATTCCATTTCCCAATTCACATGTATATAAATACTCCGTACAAATAAGTTTCATCCCCCTTTATATGCATTAGTGACAAAAGAGGAAGGTGTACCTGGCAAAAAGGCAGGAGTTGCAGAGAAATTCTGGTCACCAGGCCCACTGCCAGTGCTTCCAGGTGTACCCATAACCTGAGCTCCACCATAGACAATTGATCCCCGTCCACTACCTGGCATACTCCCTTTTCCTTTCGCAATCACAGCACTCTTTAGCTTACTAGACTCTGAAGGTGATTCAAGCTCTCCAGGTTCAACAACATTTATAGATTGACCAGTTTTAGGTGGGGAAGAAGCTTGAGATCCAGTACCAGAACGCTGTATAAAATGCTGCCCAGTAGCTTGCAATGAAGGTTGTCCCCGGCTTTGAACAGAATTTCGCTGAGTTGGATGCGAGACCCTGTTGACTTGGCTATTTGGCCCAGTTGGTTGAAAATTCATCTGAGGGAATGTAGTTATTCCTCTTCCTTGGGCCCTTAATGGCTGTGACTGAGTAGAAAATGAGGAACCATGAGTCAACTGCATTGTGGTTGAAGGCTTTCCAGCAATTGAAGAAACTGAATCATCAATGTTAAGTTTGTCCATGGCAACAGAGTCGATGATATTTTTTCCTCGCAACATTGCACCAGGTTGAGCTGCAGAAGAATTCTCCTTCACAAGAGAAGATTGGACATTTCGACTATTTGACCCCGATTGCAAGTCCCTTTCATGTTGTTCTTTGGCGGAAGCAGTTGAGGGATAAAATGGAGGCGAAGCAGAATTCAAGCTTGACACAAACCCTTGTTTAGCAGCTGGTAAAGGGTCTGAATCTACATTTGCTACAGGTCCAGATGCTTTCCCAGAGCTACTATGTGAAGGTTTCTCAACAGACTTGCCAAAGCTAAGAAATTCAACAAAATAAGGAGAAACTTAATAAATAATTTCCCTTGATCCATTCAGAGAAAGAAAGTAAAAAAGAATATCCAGAATTAAATACACACCGTCTGGTCTGTGGAGGGGGTGCATCATCATTGTCTTTAAAAGACGGTCGATACCTTCTAGGTCCTCGTCCCCTAACTCCTCTTGGTGCATTATTCTGAATCTTCTGATTATTAGCATAAGCTTTGTTCTCATTGTTCTCATTGTTCTCATTACCATATGCTCTGGGCCTCCTTCCACGAGGATATCCCGGATCTGACCCTCTCATTTTACCACGACCACGATAACGACCCCGGGAAGTCCTCCTGCCCTGTAAGGTATTTGAAAGAAGTATTAGAGAACAATAGGTTACGCCTAATTAAATGAGAAGTGCACAAACATATAGCCATAAGCGCATTCACCCCATCATAGTGCCTTTCCTCCATGGTCAACTCCTCAAACTTGTCATGCCCCCATTTTCTATCATCTCTTGATTCCCATAACTTTCTTCCACCAAAAGTTCGCCTTGAATGTATAAAATAGAAACAAGCAAATTCATAAGTATAAGAAACACAAATTATGTTAACCTATAAAGGATTATTTACACTAGCCCAAATGAAGTATTATGATGCTCAAAGAAAGATGCAAGGGAGAATACTTCGAGGATCAAAAATCAAAACCAGTAAATCTCCCATATGGCTTCTCCAACTCTCGAATGCCATTACAATGTAAAAGCTCTTACAGATTTCGTCTATTCCTCTAGAAGAACTATAGTTACGTATTAGAGGTCAATAAAATTTACATTTACTTAGGAATGCACCCACCAACATAGTTAACTTTTATATTTGCATAAGAATGCTAATGCAACAAGAAGAACATAGACCAGAGTATATTATATCTAACAAAAAACCTACTTAGTACACTGTGCTAAAGAGGAAAACCCAACCAGAAATGTCCTTCACTTAAATCCATCGGATGGAACCTGTTATTAAAGTTAGGAACTTTAACGCATTGATACCTAGCAACAAAGCTAAGGAACAGAAAACTACTTATATGTAGGAAATCAGAAAACAGCCCTATCCACAAAACGTATGTACAATCAGAATTCCAGACTAATATACAATCAGCAACACCAAACAAGCACCAATACCTCTGTCGGCCTCGTGCATTGTCACGAAACCTGTCATCATGCATATAAAATGCTCCAGCAGTGGGCACAGCATAAGGTTCATTCTCCTTCTTCTCCTCCAATTCCCTCTGCAAATTACCATCGTTATCACCATCCACACCATCATTCAATCCTGTGCCCTCTGCAGTGAGTCCTTCCTCAATCACTTCAGAACTTCCCTCCGCCACCGTTGCCTCTGTTCGATGCTCACCAACACCTTCTTCTTCACCAACTGGCGCACGTCCCTCGTCGTACTCTTCTTCCTCCTCCACATACTCCTCATACTCTTCGTCGTACTCCGACTCCTCCCCTTCCTCTTCGTCATATTCCGCAACCCCGCCTTGCTCCTCCAACTCTCCATCGGAATCAATCCTCCGAGGCGGCTTCTCTCTCCTCTCCTGCTTTTCCCTTTCTCCTCCGGTCTCCTCCTCATCGTCGCTCGCCTCTCTCCTCCGCATCTTCAGCGACAACTTCGCCTCCTCCGGATCGCTCTCGTAGTCCACCCCCTCTTCTCCCACTCCAGCCATCGCCTCACTCATAATAACAAAAACCCCTAACTCCTCACACGATACTCAGAAAAACCGAAGAAACCAAAAACACAATCTTGGTCAACAATCTCGCTCCAATCAAAACCCTAAGTTGAGAAATTACTGAAATTGGAATTAGAATGGAAGGCTTGATCTTTAAGGTGTGATCCGGATTTTCTAGGGCTAGGTTAGACCATGGAAAACCCTAGAGATTTGTAGGTTGAGAAGAAAAAAGAGATTGGGATTGGACTGTACAGGTCGAGGCTTTTTTTAATTTCTAATTTATTCTCCTTTTTGTTTTCGGAATTTGCTTTTTATTTAACGGGTTTTGGGCCTACATGCTACAGTAATGGGTATTTTTATAATACTTATAAAGCCCATAAAATTTTGCACTTATCTAAGGAGCGTTGTCCTGGACCCGTGTTCACTATGTGTATGGTGGACACGTTGTACATTCATAATTTTTATATTAGGGAAAATGGCACTTTTTCCCCCTGAGTTATATACCTATAGCATTTTTTCCCCCTAAATTATTGAAGTGGCTGTTTTTCCCCCTGAAATGTTAAATGGACATATTTACCCTTAAACTAAATATTTAATTTTTTTTCTCCAACAAATTATGACCATAATTTGGTTCAAACTAAACAAACACTATAGCAACCAAACAGAAATATTCCAATTACAATTTAGAATCGAAATTCGATATTTAGAGTTTATTAAAATCGTGAACCGGAACGGACGGTTAATGTTCCGAACTGAAAAAATAAAATACATTTATTGTTGAATTTAGACTATTTTAAAATAAAAAATAAAATTTTAAAATAAAGACGGTTCAAAATCGCGAATCAGATCCGGAACCGCCGGTTCACGGTTCAAGATTCAATTTTTTTGATAGATAATTTTAATAAATTGACATTTAAATATTGGGTTCTAGGCATTCAAAAAAATATTGGGTTCTAGATCTGAATTATAACCGTAAACTATTAATTCGATTGCTTTAGTATCCAATTCAATTCAAATCGAACCGTTGTCATCCCTACGTATACGCAATAATTTGTTGGAGTAGTAAAATAAATAAAATGTTTACTTTAAGGGTATAAATGTCAATTTAATATATCAGGGGGGAAAAAGCACCACTTTTAGAATAATTGAGGGGGCTAATGTGCTTACCTAAATAATTGAGGGGGAAAAAGTGCTACAAGTATATTACTCAGGGGTAAAAAGTGTCATTTTCCCTTTATATTATAGATTTATAATTTTTATACTATAGATTTATAAAATTTATAATGTAGATTTATAAAATTTATAATGTAGATTCATAAAATTTATAATATAGATTCATAATTTCTATACTGCACATTCATAATTTTTGTACTGTAGATTCATAATTTCTATACTGCACATTCATAATTTTTGTAGTGTAGATTCATAATTTTTATACTGTAGATTCATAAAATTTATAATGTAGATTCATAATTTCTATACTACACATTCATAATTTATGTACTGTAGATTCATAATTTGATAACTATACAATTTAGAAATTATGAATCTATATTACAGAAATTATGAATCTACAGTACAGAAATTATGAATGTGCAGTATAGAAATTATGAATCTACATTATAAATTTTATGAATCTACAGTTTAGAAATTATGAATCTACAGTATAGAAATTATGAATGTACAACGTGTTCACCATGCACATGGTGGACACGGGTCCATAGCATAATTTGCCGCAAACCACTAGTTTTTTACGCGCATTGCGCGATTGAGATAATACCCAATATTTTTCTTAAATAAGTATTTTAAAGTATATCAATACAAGATTATATTGGAATTGTTCATGCATAAATAATTGAATGTTGAATTTACGTATTTAAATTGGTAATTCTAAGTTTACTAATGCAAGATCATATAGTCAAGATTGATTATAATTGTCAATAAAATAATTGTATGTGTACGATTGAAACCAAATACGAGACATAAGGGAGAGAAAATAAAAATTAAAGAATAAAATATTAAATATATTCTAATATTGTTTGAGGAGATTCCGAGGATTTGTGGTTAGAGTTCTATTAAGACTTTAATATTAGAATTAGATTAATGTTGTAGTTATAATTCTATATTAGACTTTAATATTAGAATTAGACTAACGGTGAATTAACGGTACTTAATGGAAAAGTTAATGGATCGGATATTCATATAATTAACGAAAAATTATGAAATCTCAAAGAAAAATTAAAATCTGAACAATTTGAACTATTCATTTGATTTAATAATTTGACGGTCATTTTTTCTACCCAATGTTTATAATTAAATAAATATTTGAAAGTATATCAATGCAAGATTATATATGAGAAGTTCAACATAAGTAATTTAATGTCTAATTTATTTATTTAAATATGTAATTCATAGTATATGAATACAATGTAATATATGAGATTCATTATAATTGTTACTAATTTTTTTTTAAATAGTAACCAAGTATTTTTGTTGCAAAGGGTTCTAATATATTTAATGAATGCACATATATACAAGATCAATGAATGAATCAACGATACCAGTCCTTTAGGTGTTTTGCTCAGTGTTCATTTAGTTCAACCATGATTGGTGATTAAATTATTATGGATAAAGAAATTCCTAATTTAAGGAATTTAGATGTAGTAAAAATTTAAAAATTTTAATTATAGTGCAACCCAAAAATATTGAATGATTGGTAATATGATGTAACTCAAAGATCAAAATGCTAAAGAAAGTGTTTTGGTTATTCAACAGGTTGAAGCAACAATTTGTTCCAAACCACTGAAAATACAAACATTACAATTTACAATATTTTCACTTAACGTTTTTGAGAATGATTTTCCCAGCACATCTATATTTTAAAAAAATTATTATTATTATTATTATTATTATTATTATTATTATTATTATTATTATTATTATTATTATTATTATTATTATTATTATTATTATTATTATTATTATTATTATTGTAAACACAAAAAAGTAAACTTTGTATATATTCCACAAAATTCCTTGTACAGTGTGTGTATAATTTAATATGCAGATACAAAATCTCTGTCTAGTCCTCTGATTCTTCACTGACGTTATTTATGGAAGTGCCTCCGGGATTTAAGTGGCACGTGCCTCCGGAATTTAAGTGGCGTAGCTTCCGGGATTCAATCAGCGTGACTTTCAACAACGAGCGTCAAGAATTTAGAAGTAATCAACCCTGCAAAGTTTCAAAACACATGCAATGGATTCAAGCTGCCTTAAAGTCCTCAAATGCCTTCAAAAGACTTCAAGATCTTCGAGACAATCAATTCTGCAAAGCTCCAAAGTACCTGCAATGGATTCAAATTGCCTGCAAAATCAACAAAAATGCCTTCAAGCTCTTCAAATGCTCTCAATTCCTCAAATCTTCAAGTTGCTCAATGCCTTCAAGCTCTCAAGCCTTCAAGTTCTTCAAGCTTTTAAGTTCTTCAAGCTTTCAAGTGTCGTTTAGAATGAAAATGAAGGCTCTATTTATACTAGAAGCCTAACCAACATTCCTCAACAAACTCCCCCTTTAATTAATTAATTAATTAATTAATTAATTATTCTAGAAAATAAACCTGGACCATAATCAAGTCTAGGTTCATTATTGTATAATCTAACTTAAATTCAAATTAAATTATAATTATCTAATTCAAATATAATAAAATTAATATTATATTTAAATTATAATTATAATTTATAATTTATAATTCAAATATGAAATGGGCTTGGGTCAATTAATTAATTAATTCAATAGCCCAAATCAAATTTAATTGGACTCATTAAATTAATTTAATTATTATGGTCCAATTAATTAAATTGGTCCAATAATCAACCTCAACGTTGGTCCAATAATAATTTTGTCTATCCATTTATTGGGTTCAAATTTTCGGTGTCTACAATTATTATTATTATTATTATTATTATTATTATTATTATTATTATTATTATTGTTATTATTATTATTACTAGTTTTTTACGCGCATTGCGCGATTAGAATAATGCCCAATGTTTTTTTTTAATAAGTACTTTAAAGTATATCAAGGCAATATTATATTGGAATTGTTCGTGCATAGATAATTGAATGTTAAATTTACGTATTTAAATAGACAATTTTAAGTTTACAAATGCAAGATAATATAGTCAAGATTGATTATAATTGTGAATAAAATAATTGTATAGGTATAGTTGAAACCAAATACGGGACATAAGGGAAAGTAAATTAAAATTAGGGCATAAAATATTAAATATATATTAATATTGAAAAGTTAATTGCTGATTGCCAAACGAGGGCATTGCGTGGTAGTTTCCTACTTCAATTTGTTGTGTGATTTGAATACACTTTTTGTCAATAAATCCCTCAAGTAGTTAATATGATTGGCTTAATTATATATTTTTTTTATTTTTTTAAACTATTATTATTATTATTATTATTATTATTATTATTATTATTATTATTATTATTATTATTATTATTAAATATATGTAAACCCTTAGGTCATTTTACATGTTAATCTAAACAACAGCTAATTTTTTCAAATATCTTTTTACCAATCGTTGATATAATTCACTGGTCAAATTCGCTAATATAATCCGCTAACACTAACTGCTGATTGTCAAACAAGGACATTGCGAGGTAATTCTCACTTCAATTTGTTGTGTGATTTGAATATTCTCGTTGTCAACAAATCCCTCAAATAGTTAATATGATTAGTTTTATTAATTATATTTTTTAAAATTTTTCATGGTATTAATAAAATACTTGGTAAACAACTATATAACATTATTTTGTATTATAGCTTTGATATTTAATTAAAAAATAATGCACAAAAAAATAATAAACAATGTAGTGAATATAATCAATTGATGAATTTGAAATTTGAATGTAAATAATTTTTACTTGGAGAAATATAAAGACAATAGAACTAATAAAATTATGTCTCTTAATTAATTTATTGATAATGAATATTTTTTTTTTTAAGTAAAGACATTGTAGGGACAATGTAGCGAACATAATCAATTGATGAATTTGAATATAAAGAATTTTTATATTGGAGAAAAATAAAGACAATATAACTAATGAAATTATTTCTCCTATTTAATTTATTGATAATGAATAATTTTTTTTTGAATAACGACATTGTAGACACATAATTCTAAATTAAAGAAAATGCATATGTATTATTTTTTGTTGTAGCTACTAAATTATTATTTAATTTA